AGGACAGTCTGAAAACAGTCCATCCTGGGCAAGCAGCTCATGAGTCCCTCCTGCTGCTATCGAGAAGAAAGGCGAGGAGCCCGTGACAATAACCGTGCTTCCTTCTGTGCAACAGGTCTTTTCCTTCATCCTTCAGAGATGAGGTTTTGCCTTGAAGACTTCAGAGTGATTCGCACTCAGCCTCAGCTATCTGCCAGGCAACGCACAACAGATTGCCTGTGGTTATAGCCTTGCAGATTTTAAGCAACTACAGAAAATCAGCGTGTTCAAGCTTATTGCAGAAAGAAGCTGCTGTGCACTGGGAAGCAGGAGAACCAAGGGCTGGAAAGATCCAGCAGCGCTTCCCTACTGCAGGCCACTTCCTCAGCACAAGAGTAACTGGAGCTGTAACCTTGCAGGCAAGAGAATGAGACAGCAGCAGCCACCTCAGAGAGGGCATGGATGAGGCTAGAGCTGCAGCCTCATGACCAGATCCAAGGAAAAGCTCAAATCTCTTGCTGCATCAGCAGCTTTAGGGTCGCACACCAAGTAGAGAGGCAGATAGAGTAAGGTGGTCCATCCATCACCATCAGGAAGAGTTCACTTGCTCAGGCTGGGCTCACCTAGAGAGGCCAACACCCTCTCTGGAAGAGCTGATCCTCCTAAAAACGTCCTTGCAGGTTCGTGTTGCAAACTTAAGTGTTAACAGACTGGTTTTAGGATGATTTCCCAGCGGGCAAGTCTGCTTGTCCCACATAGGGATAGCCTCAGCCTCCCAATGTAGGGCAGGACAGACCAGCCAGACCAAGCAGCTGGCATACAGGCTAAAAACCAGCCAGGAAGACCCAAAATCCACACACATATCTGCTTGTGTACTGCTGTCACCTGTTCTCTAGGCAAAAATTGGATCAAGGCCCCATTTGCTTGTGCTCCTTGAGGAACAGGGCAGTGAAGGTAAAGGATACCATCAAGGGCAGTCCCTTCTCACTGCCTCTTAGCCCCTCCTTGCCTCTGCAGAGCAATGAACCCAAAGGTCTCAACACAAGCGCCTCTCTACTATGAGGCTACTTTGAAGGGGAAGCACTGCCTCGAGAAACACAGCTGGGGAAGGCAGGACTGGATGCATTCAAGGCCAGTTTCCTGCAAAAGCCCCTCCCCAGGCCACAGAGCAGGTTTCTGGGACTTGCTGAAGTATTTCCAGCCTGACAGATCTAGTGGCAGCAGTGGGTTTGAGATGCCTTTCCCGCTATGAGACAGCAGTTCAATCCTACAGCAAACAAACGCAGGCAGCTCGAGCCTGCAGCAGCTGCTGCCTCCCAGAGAGGATCTCTCCAGACACCAGCTTCAGGGACTGGCAGCACATCTGGCACGCTCTCAAGGGCTAAGCACACACCCTCAAGTGCATTCTGGTGCTGGACCCAGAAGGAAGACTCACTATAAGTAACCTTGCCTGGGTGCAAGGGGTTTAGCAGCCCTTTGGGAAAGGGGACGTAGGCAGGATTGGAGCAGCCCCGCTGCTCTCCAGCCTCCGCCGGCACAGCGCCAGCCAGCAGCGGGCATCTGATCCCACTGCACCAAGTGCCACGGCGACACCGCCCTGGGAGCGCAAGGTGACACCAGAAGGGTTTGCAGCCAAAGGTCCTTCCCGGGCTGAGCGCTCCGTGCTGGCAGGGACTACGCAGACAGGAGAGGAGGTCCCAGCTCATCAGTACTCAAGCACAGGCACTGCAGGGAACCACATCAGCAATATTTTTAGCTTGATTGTTCAGATTTTTTTTTTTGAAAACATTTCCACCCTTTCAGCCACCTCCCCATGGGTCTGTGCAGCTGAGTCACTGCTGGAACCTTCCAAACGCTTGGGCACCAACGGCACAACAGCTCTGCTTGGCAGCACCATTCCTCCCAGCCCGCAGAGGCAGCCCAGCGCTGACACAGCCTCATCTGCTCTCAGGACACTCTGCTGGAGACCCCAGCCCTCAGGCTTGGCCAGCTGCAGCCTCCCAGGCCTTGGCACTGGGCATCAGGAGTACCTGACACAGAAATATCCTCTCCACATCCTCCTTTTCATCACAGCAGAGCCACACCACCGGGAAGCATCGGCATCTGCCGACTCCTCAGATCCGTATGGCTTTCAGACATGGGAACACACCTCTGCCACCTGGAGAGGAGCATTTCACAGCCTTTCAGGAGATGCTCCTGAACTACAAGATGTCCCCTCCCAAGGGGCTCCACATGGCCATTCCAGAGCCCTTCCAAAGGAGGAGGAGATGAGGCTGTGCGGATGTGGGAGGTGTGGGCAGGCTGAAACAGTACAACAGCTGTGCACAAGTATCAGCCTTTCACTTCTCCAGCCAGCATATGCCATCCCCACAGCTCTCAGAGCAGGGCAGTAACAGCAGCCCAGGCCAAGGTGCGCTCCTGGCCCAGCTGCTGCACACAGGGGAAGGGAGGGTGGGATTGAGAGGGAAAACACCACCTCAGGACCACAACATCCCCTCAGCTATACAGCCCGAGATCCTCTGCACAGCCTCTGCAGGCCAGAGGCTCCTCTGTGGAAGCCACACAGGTGCATTCGGGCTGGTTTTATGCGCAAATCCCCCCTTGCATGCTGAGGGGAATACCAGGAATGAGGAAACAGGCCTCTCCAGACAGTATTAGGTGTCACCTTCCAGGAGCTGTTTCCTTAAGTCATCACAAACACCCACTGGGTGCAGATCATCCGAGCCCAGGGTTAGATCCTTTCTACTGCTCTTCTCAGGCCTCTGCAGCAGGCAGGAGCTCCAGTACGATGCACTGCAGTCAGCAGGGGCATCTGACACCAGATACAACCTCTGCGAGCAGGGAGGTCACTGGAGCACCTTCAAATCATCTTCAGACCAATCTCCCAACCAGAAACCCCTCCACCCTTGACAGTGAACTCCCACCACAGTCCACTCAGCCCCACCACCCGACCTGTGAGGCACCAAGCCTGCCACAGGCTTGCACGGGCGCTGCTCATCTGCCTGCCAGAGCGCTGCAGAGATGTCCGCGCCTCTGCCAAGACAGCCTGGCAGGAAGCCGGCCAAGAGAGCACTGGAGATGGCTACAGCAGATCAGGTGGGGCTGGGACATCCACACAGAGCAGCTGCCTCGGTGTGTGACAGCCCTTGTTCTGCGGCACCATAGTGCACCAAGCTCCGCGTGTTGTGGGTGGCAGCAGCAGCAGAACCATTCAGCACCCATGTTGCCTGCTTGAAGTGTGCCCTTTACATTAAAGATTCTATAACACAGGCTCAGTGCCCCACAGCCTGCTAAAAAACCGTAACAGGCTCAGTGCACAGCTTTAAGGCACCTGTCCAGCCCACGGCACACTAATAACTTTCATTTCTCCCTCCTCGTTCAAGGTTCTGGCTGGCAACAAGAGGAGGACTGATACCAAGTGTGTGGTATTCCCTGGCTCATTAGGGGAAGCCCATAGGACTGTGTGCTGGAGCAGAGCAAGGCTTGATAAAAAGCTACCACAACCTGACTGCAAGCAGACCCTAAGCGCCTGTGCTAGGGCCCACAGGCAACCCCCCACGTCCTGTGGAAATTAGATACAGAAACTCGAGTGAGCTGTGCTGATGAAGCTGTCATTTCAAACACCACTACCCCACAAGTGAATTTGTTTTGGTTTACAATCCATGCAGCAACACTCAGGGCTGTGTCCCAGAAGCTCTATTCTGAGGGCAGTATCCCCTGGACATCAGAGGTGGTCGACAGCATCCCCTCGCCCCCCCAAAACATCTACGTGGGCAAATCACGCTGCCCAGGCCACCCCAGCAGCTATGTACATTCCTGTCAACACCAACTTTACGCCTGGGGCCTCCTGTGTCACCCAAGTCTGCGCAGAGATGCACTACCCTTTTCACAAAGCAGCAGCGTGCTGCTATAAAGGGATGAGTTTCTGTAGCAACCAGGCTGAACTTGTACAAACTCTGCCAAAGCACTAGATCTTTCCATGGACTGATACTTAAACGAACAAACCACCATTTGTGAAACTGGTTTTTACAGCCCTTAAAGGCTGGGAAAGGAACTCTTCCCTCTGTTTTACCCTCCTTGCTCCATTACCAGGCCAAGGAGATGCATTAAGTTCACACGGACAGCATCCCTTCCTCCTCCTGTGATTTTACAGAGAAGGCTGGTGCCTTTCAAAGAATTAAGTGAACCCTGCATCACTCCAGGGGAAGCACCCAGCACCCCAAAAACTCCTCATTTGATCTCAGCTGCAAAACCAGCCTGGAGAGGATTGAGGGGGAAGGGCAAGCCAGCCAGCAGCGCGTGGCTGCAAGCCCACACCCTGCTGATCACGTAGGTTTGTGCTGGACCAAAAGAGTTAAAAACAAGAAGCCATTCCGCTGCATCTCCTCCAGCCCACTGCAAGGAGCAGCCCGCTATTTCTAGTTGAACGTGGGAGTGGAGAAGGATCCCTCCAAGTCTTCCACCCAGCCTGCAAGCTGCCGGCTGA